GGGGATGCGGCACAACAGTGTGTATTGTCTTTGATGCAACTATCAGGCTATAGGTGAAGCATGTAAACTAAAACATATGTTACATAGAGAACGAAGGAAGATGATGAGATAGGCAGATAGATAGCCTTGGGTTGTGTTATATTTTAATCACGAGTTTCTTTGTTAGCCAGGTCTCTGTTTTGAAAATACAAACTAATGATTTTGCTGTTCTGCTTTCTACTAATATCAAGACTAGTTGCATCAGTAAAGTTATGTTTCTTCAAATGTTCAACATTGCCCAACAGGATTCATATGACTCACTGGTCAGTCTAAGGGATCAGAGCACTCATACCTATAGACATATGGATGGAGATACCAAACATAGTGGAGAACGGAATCATTTGGAACAGACTCTAAGTATGGTTGCATCGGGTGTTGTTGGTAACCAGAATAACATGCTAGATGTAAGTTCTATCACAAATCTTCCAGCTTGTTAACTAAAGGAAGTATCACATCTAAATGTTGTTCTCTTTTTCCCTTTTCAGTATTCAGAAATATGGTTGCATCCTAATAGTGAAAATTTCACTCAGTGCATTGAGCGGACAAAGAGTCAGAAACGTAAACACCTGAACAACTGAAATTCATTTTTATTCAGCCTATTAACTGTTTTTGCCTTATCCTCATCCGTTTTGCTTTCTTTGGCAGTTGTAGATGCAAAGACAAATGGTTACCTTCTGATAAATGCAAATGGTGGCTTAAATCAGATGAGATTTGGGGTCTGGTTGTTATAGGTTTCATGCTTCAGTTCCTTTTATTAAAGATTCCTATTATCTCCATCTGATAAACAAATAATTCTAGAATGCAGATCTGTGATATGGTAGCTGTTGCTAAAATCATGAAGGCAACACTTGTACTTCCTTCCCTTGATCATACATCCTACTGGGCAGATGAAAGGTGCTCTGCTTTTACCACTTCATTGAAATCATATTCATTATGAAATGGTTATTTTGATAGGCAAACGTTATGGAAGATACCCACCACCCACAGCACATACTTTAGTTAGTTTGAATAACCAAAATTACATGTATCATGTGTGTTGGATTGTTTCTCACCCTAGTGGTTTCTTGTTGATCCTTTTGTGTAATGTGTACTGACTGCACCCTACTTAGCTGACCCATTCTGGTATAAAACTTATAAAGATCATTAGCCATATGTAGAGCTCAAAACTATAAGATATGGGGCCCTTGTGAATGGACAAGAAGTCTAGCATCAATGAACAACATAGAGTCCTAAGTTTAGGACTGTGGTTACAGGTGCTTCTACTTATGAAGTTCACAGTCTCATATGTCTGGAGCAGAATGAGAATCCTGGGATTCTACCGTAAATAGATGACCTTTGGCAAGTGCATTAGTTGATGTTGAAGGGGAAGCTTTAATCTTTAGATGATTCTTAGTTTGTCGTATACATGGTTGATGGTGGTCCCGTGTTGAAGCACTTATGTGCTAACAAGTTCATGCTTCTAGCTTTGAGAGAAACTTTCATGATATACCTGGGAGAAGAGAAGAAAAACAATTAAGTGAAGGAAAAAAATCTATCGAAAGTATAAATGGTGTATTTAGGAGAGTCATTACATAAGACTTGAAGTTTGTCAAAAAGACTTGAAGTTTGTTCCACTGTTCTCAAAGTAATCATTGAAGGTGAAATGAGGTAGAATGGGTGAATCCACCGTCTGATGGTCTTTAAGAGAGTCATGTTAGGTTAAAGACAAAGCGGTAGTCATTCTTTTCTGTGATTTTATGACCAATAAACAAGGGAGGTTAATGTTCTTCAAGGCTCAAGGCCACAATGTTATCTGAGTTTGCAGTTACATTACCAATTATTGACTGCGGATGCTATTCTTTATGGAACCTTTTCTTGATATACGTTACACAATTATGCTCACGATAAGAGAAAGAGTGTCTTGTTACTTGATGAATGGAAGCATGTCTCCAGGGCTGAGACTGATAAATCAGTTTAGGATGCATGTTGAGAATCTAGCGTTAGATGGCATGATTTATGAAGGGTGCAATGATGGAAAAATCCTCCCTCAAAGGATGATGGTGATGAACGAGCCTAATACTCAATTTTCTTACAGGTTTATTAGCCTAGAAATCAGTTGGCTAGTAGTGATGACACTTCAGGTTCCGGAAACTTAAAACATAAGTTGTAAGAAAGAAATGTTAACTTAGGCATCACAATTTCGATTTTGGAGGATCTCCTTTAAGGTACAAGACGTTGAGGCAGTTGAAAGAGTCTCGTCATTGGGCTGCTACTTTTCTCTTTTTGTTGGGTAACAATTGTGTGTGCAATATGCTATTGAGAAATCTTCCCAGTATACCATATGGGAAGCCACTTAACACAATATGATAGTAGTGTATTTAAATTCCACTGCTGCCCATATTAGGTTTTTATATCCAATTCTTAAATTGAAATTCCATTGTATACCACCATCATAGGAAAAACGCTAATTCCTACCTTTTTAAAGGGATTTTGTTTTAATTATACCCTCTGGTCCAATTTCAACCATTTATACCATCAATTTCTCTCTACTCATAAAAGACTTTACTCACAACAAAATCGGTTAAATTCAAACCCAGTTTCCCTATATCTCTTAAATATTTCACACAAAAAAAATCGAAAGGACGTACGTTCCCCAATTTTTGACTCTTCATTCAGTATTCAAATCAGCTCTACTATATTCAGATAAAGCTATTATCAAAACAACCCCATTCAAATAAAAATTACAATATAACAAACCGAACTTACCAGTACTCAAATAAAATTTACAATATAACAAACCAAACTTACCAGTACTCAAATACTTCTCTTTCCCACATTCTCTTCTACATGCATTATATATGGCGGTTCTATTTTCTTCTTGAAGCAATTCCGATTCCTCCATGGAAAATTTTAAATGACAGATTGTTTGTTCTACACAAAAAGAATGGCGCAGAACACAATGTATGAAAAAACTATCACCTAATAGATGAAAAGTCTGATTGTGGATAAAATAGATAGAGTAAGATGTAGCCCCACGGGAGCAACTTGTCTAGAAAAACCTACAAATGCATCCTACCAATGCAGAATTGGCTAAAATAGGGGATAATGGGGAAATCTGTCCATATATGGGATAGCTACTATTTGAGGATAGGTTTTAAACTTGTAAGATAACTTCTAACATTATTATTATCACAACAACATACACAGTGTTATCCCACCAGTGGGGTCTTGGGAGAGTTGTGTGTATGCAAACTTTACCCCCTACCTTGGAAGATAGAGAGGTTTGTTTTTGATAGAAAGTAAACACATTTACAAAGCAGTTCAAATGACTAAATCAGTGGGAGTGAAGAAGCCAGAAAAAATGCTAAAGAACGCATGACAAAGCATCCTTAAGAAGGATTCTTCACTACAACAACAACAACAAACCCAATGAAAATCTCATAAAGTGGGTACGGAGATGGTAAGAGTATATGCAGCAGACCTTACAACTACCTCTCTAAGGGAGAGAGACTATTTCCAAATAATCCTCATTTCAAGCAAATCAAAGTAGTAATTAAAAAGAAAACATGATAGATAATCACAAAGTAGTGCAGAGCATATATGCAAGGAACTGTTACAAACAACAAGGTGCAGTCACCTAAACACAGTAAACTACAGATGATGATCAAAAATCCAAAATCAAAGACTACATGAATATGCTAATACTACTAATCGACACAGAGCTCCGAACCCCCAATTAGATAGAGACAAGAACATGCTAGTAATTAACTGCCTAACTAACCCTCTACCCTAATCCGTGTTCTCCATAATCTCCTATCTAAGATCATGTCCTCGGGGCGTGTCATGTCATTTCAAATCACCTCTCCCTAAAACTTTTTTGGCTTAACTCTACTTCTCACGTAACCATTCCTAGCTAATCTCTCACACCTCCATATTGGGGCATTCATGCTTCTCATCTTCACATGACCGAACCATCTCAGCCTCACTTCCCACATATTGTCCTTCATCGACACCACTCCTACCCTGTCCCTCTCCTAGTATGCCCATACATCCTTCTCAACCTTCCATTTCCACAATTTTATCTTCTAGACACGAGAGTTCTTCACTGACCAACAATTCGCTCCGTACAGTATAGCCAGTCTAACCACCGCTTTTTAGATTCTTTGAGCTTTGGTGACACATTCTTATCACACAAGACTCCTCATTAGATTTAATTTGTTGTTTCCAACCTTAAGCTTAACATTATCTCCGCCGCTAGTCTTGTTGATTAGAACTATGTCATTTGCAAATGACATACAACATGTCACCTCACCTTGGATTCGTTGAGTCAATTCATCCATCGCCAAGAAATAAAAATGGTCTAAGAGATGATCCCTTGTGCAAGATCACAACTAGAAAGTGTTCTAAGTCCACAGCTACTGTTCATATCTAGGTCGTGGCTCCAGCACATGCCCTTAATCTCCATAGGGATCCCTTTAGCCTCCGGGTGTAGACAAGGTGATCCCATGTCACCATTCCTATTCATCTTAGCTATTGAAGGTTTTAATCACATGCTTAAAATAGCCAAAAGAAGGTGGATCAGAGGCTTTGGTTCTCAGACTAAGAAGGGCAGTGCTATGGAGATCAGTCCCCTTTTTTATGTAGATGACTCACTTGTCTTCTGTGATGCATACACAGATCAAGTCAGACATGTAAGGGTTATCTTAGCAATTTTCGAAGGCATTTTTAGAGTTACATGTCAACTGGCACAAGAGTTTTATATTCCCTGTTAACCAAGTGAATAATTCAGAACTCTTTGCTGAGACTCTGGGATGTCAGATAGCATCACTACCTACCAAATAGCTTGGGATGCCATTGGATGCAAAAAATAAAGAGCTTGAAATATGGAGTGAAATACTGGGGAAGTGTGATAAGAAACTAGCGAGGTGGACGAGCCAATACCTATCACTGTGGTGGTGGTGGTGGTGGTGGGGAGGGGGGGGGGTTGGTAGGTTGATCCTTGTCAAATATGTGATGGATGCTTTTCCTACATACATGATGAGCTTGTTTCTAATACGAAAAAGCATTGAGAAAAGATTAACAGATTATGGAGGTCCTTCTTATGGCAAGGAAATAAGGAGAAAAGAGTTTATAATCTGATTAAGTGGGATTCACTAGACACTAAAGAGAAATCAAGAGGGCTTGCCATGAAATATATCAGCATACAGAGTGAATGCTTACTTCGAAAATCGCTTTGGAGGTTTTGCACAATGATATGGCTTTGTGGAGAAGGTTTATTGAAGATAAATATGGTTTGCAAAGCTAGTGGACCACTGAGAAGGTCATGGGCACCTTTGGATGCAGTGTTGGGAAGACCATCAGGAGGTTGTTGCATTAGTTTTACAACAACATTTCTTTCCAAGTGGGTAATGGAATGAGAGTTGATTTCTGGAGTGAGCATTGGGTAGGGGAAGATAACTTGAAAAGTCTTTTCCCCCCATCTTTGCATTCTGGTCTCACAAAGGAATACCTCAGTCTCAGGTGTGGAGTCCCCAGAGTTGGAATTTGATCTTTAGAAGAGCAGTGGAAGATTGGGAAGTGACAAAGATTGTTAGACTTCTCCATGTTTTGAGTAGTTTCTCAGGTATTGCGACTAATGTAGACAATCCTATTTGGTCACTACACAATAAAGGAGCCTTCACAGTGAAGTCATGCTACTGGTGGAGGGATAATAGTCAAGTCAACACAGAATTATAGGTTCAGAAACTAATTTGGAAGGTTAAAAGTCCATTAAAAGTAGCTTATTTTAATTGGTTCGTGGTAATACTAGAATGCCTAACACATGAAGTGTAACAAGGGAGCGGTTTCCAGATTTGCTCAAGGTGTTAAATGTGCAATCAACAAGCAAAGGTAAATAATCATCTATTTCTTCATTACAAAGCCACTACAAATCTATGGAACATGTTCCTCTGTATCGTAGGAGTCAGTTGGGTAAGGCCTAAGTCTATTATGGATTTGCTCAACTGCTGGAATGATATTGGCAGCAGAGAAGCCAATGAAGATTGTTGGAGATTCATGCCAGCTTGTGAGTGATGGACATTGTGGAAGGAGAGAAATTCAAGATGTTTTGAAGGCAAAGGGACCAACAGCCAGGTGACTAGAATCCAACGACTTAGTTTACTTTATTTTTGGTGTAAACAGGATACGGTAGGGCATATAATAGACATAGTTGACTTCAAGGGACAAAGTGCACACGCCATGTGTGGATTGTAAAATGATCCTCATCATTAATTGTTGATGAGTTATTTGTGAATACAAAAGTTACCGTTACTTAAAAAAAAACTCCCCTTAGAACTTTGTCATAAGCCTTTTCTAGATAGATGAACACCATGTGAAGGGCCCTCTTCCTCTCGCTATATTCTATACTAGCCTCCTAACCAGATGAATAACTTCTGTAGTTGAACACTCCGACATGAATCCGAGCTGGTTCTCGAAAATAGACACACTCCTCTTCACCCTCATCTCTCTCCCTCTCTCTAACTTTCATAACAACTTGATGCCCTTATGGTTGTTGCAATTCTGAATGTCACTTCTGTTATTGTACAACGGGATAATCATACTCCACTTGCATTTTTATGGAATCTTTACCGTCTGCAAAGCAAGTGATTTTAAACAACTAGTCAACCATTCCATACTTGTCGTGTTTGTGCTCATCCAAAATTCCATCGGAATCTCGTCAGGCCCAACCTCTCTCCCCCTACGCATCCAAATGAATAACATCTTTAACCTCCTCAATCTTTATACACTTAAAATACCCAAAACCACATCACCTTCCGAAGTGCTCCAATCTCCTTCCCCTTTTCATTCAATAGTTTATGGAATAAAAGTGTCTTCTTCGTCTAATAAGTGCCTCATCTACTAATACTTTTCCATCTTCATCTTGATGCACTTCACTTGGTTCAGGTCTCGATTCCTTCTCTCTCTCATCTTAGCTATCCTATAAAGCTTCTTATCTCCGCTTTTGTCCTCTAGTTCTACACATAAACATTCAGAAGTTGCTACTTTTTCACCGTAACTGCTACCTTTTCCTCCTTCCACACCATCTTATACCCTTCCTATTCTTCTTCTCCTCCTCATCCTTACTCTCCACCAACTTCGCATATGCCACCTTCTTGACTTCCACTTTTCCTTGGATGTCCCCATTCCACCACCAATCCCCTCGATACCCACCAAAGTTACCTCTCAAGACTCCCAGCCGGTCCCAACATATTTTTAACTGAGGTGTAGTTATTGTATGGCGTAGCTCAGGGTTTAACTCACTTCGGCAAAGGTAGAGGTTTTGAATCTTAGTCACAAGTTCGTACCCTACGCAAGATGAACTAAGCCTAGTATTTGAGTTTAAAAGGGTAGAGGGACAGACCCATCATTCTCGAGTTCGAAGGTTGTGTCGATCCTAGGATTTTGGCTCCAAACGGATTTTTGGGTATCAAATAAAAAAGAAAGAAAGATAGAGTAAGGTCAATTTTACGGAAGAAATAAGATCAGGAAACAGAAAATGAGAATATAACAAATATTGAAGAAAAGCAGAAAAGAAAGGGAAAGAAAAGAGGAAGAGTCACCTTCTCAAAAAAGAAAAGAAAAGGAAGATTCATAAGATGGGGAAATATATGATGTTCTTCGTCAAAAGAGCTGGTGGGTCCCTCCAGAATTTTGAGTCTTAGGTACAACGAGCACATCCAATCATCTCTTAAGATTGTGGAGGCATCTTTAGCCACATGGAGACTTCTTAAAAAGTTATGTGAGAGAAATAGTGACACCAAAATGAAGCTCATTTTCACTTGCCTGCGCATATTTAAATAGGTTGAGTGAGTGATGATGATAATGGGTGAAATTTGGGTTCAACCCATATTCAAATTGCGCCAAAATTGGTCACTCATGGGTCTGAGTTGTCTACGGCTAAATCACTCACTGCTGCATAGGTAACTAGTTAAGATTTAATTAATGTGTCACTCTTGAGATTTTTGAGGCCTTTTTTTTAGTTGTTTTCCCGAGTTTGATTCAGTCAGTACTTTTTGAGAAGTCTTTTCTTTAACTTCAAAAATAGTTTGCACTGGCATATTGTAGGAAATATATGTCATCATTAGCTCTTCGAGGATACATACATGTTCACGTGCAGTACTCCACCTTCTGAAGCAATTACCTGTAGCTTTTTGCTAGCATCAAGTTTGAAAATTGTATAGAAATACTAACAATATATATTATTTTAAAACGTTTAGCTATTTGGTGACCCTTCAAGGTTATAATATTACTAATTTGATAGTAGCATTACACTGATGTACCTTCATCGGATATATTTTAGTTGTTAACGTGCTACTTATAGGATAAGTTTATTATCAAGGTTTCGATATTAACAAAAATAATGCTCAAATTCATATCTGGTGATGTATAAAATCTAACAACAGAAGTTTCACAACCCCTATATAAAATGGTACAATCTTACCCAACCATTTATAAACCTAATTTTATCCCGCTTAAATATGGGTGGGTTGGATTATGACTGTTTTTGCTCAACCTGTTTTCTTCCCGCCCATTTGCCACCACCATACATGAATAACAGAGTTGCAGCAGATTTAGAGAGGTGCTAGTGCCGTAAACATTGGTCATCTTAACTTATGAAGCATAAAAACCATCTGCAGCCTACTTCAACCCTCATTGGAGTGGCCAAAGCTACAAAATATAAAAGGCTTGGGTATAGTGTTCTAAACTTGGCGAATCAGTGGTAATGAAAACATGCAGCTATTGATTTACTAGATATTAATAAATCCAAATGACAGTGTTTGCAGTCAAAGATTGGGCCATTTTTTATCTTCTTGAAGATTGCTTTTATCTTCTTTTCATCTTTCCTTTCTTTGTGTAAAGCATGTGAAATATTTTGTTCTGGGGTTCCCACTGAGACTTGAACCAAGAACTTTTACTTCCATCTAACCGTTTATCACCTCATCTAAAAACACAAACGGGTAGATGCGACAGAATTTGATTTATCTATTTATGCGAACATCGTCCACCCCACCCCCTCCCCAATGCCAATCAGCAACAATAGAATAAGCAAGAGGCTCGTGATTGTTTTATTCACGAATGCTTTGCATCTATATACTCTTGTTCGATTTAAGTGATAACTCTAGATGTTTTTTTCATTGACTTGGCTCCCCTTGATCTCTACCTTTGTTTCCTAAATGCAGTGGCTTCAAAGATCTTTTCGATTGGCAGCATTTTATTGAAACTCTAAAGGATGACATCCACATTGTCGAGACATTACCACCAGAATTTGCTGGAACTGAGCCTTTTAACAAAACACCTATATCCTGGTCTAAGGTGAAGTACTTAACTGATTTATATGGGTATTTTTTATATTGATTGTGAGTACTCCTTTGAGTGAAGTATGAAACTAACAACAGATTCCACATGTTTTGGCATGGTGATGAGTATCCTGCCATACTTACATGATTCTTATTTGATCAGGTTAGTTACTATAAATCAGAGGTCCTCCCTCTGCTGAAGCAGCACAAAGTAATGTATATTACTCACACTGATTCTCGGATAGCCAACAATGGGATACCCAATTCTATTCAGAAGCTGAGATGCCGTGTAAATTACCAAGCGTTGAAATACTCGGCCCCCATTGAAACTTTGGGAAGAATTTTGGTTTCGAGAATGCGACAAGATGGCAATCCTTATCTTGCTTTGCATTTAAGGTCAGTCGCAGCCTCTTTCTCTCATAGCTGTTAGAGCTATAGTGACATACAACTCTATTGTTGTTTGTGTCATTGCTTTTGATTGATGCTAGGATTATAAAATGAAACAGTGCGAGTCAAACATCTCTTAGGATAAAAAAGAGGAGGAAAAATTCTGGATGCCACTTTTCATTTGAAGGATCAGGCCAGTTGATGTACCAGACATGCCATTCATTATGTTAGCTTAGTTTGATTCTTCATTTGAATCAAAATACATTAAGAAATGGCTACTAGACCACGTCATGCCTGCATCATTACGCTTATGTTAGCTCTCTGTATATCACTGTAATTGAACTAGGTGACAAAATTATCTAAGAAAGTTATGTAACTTTGAGGTCATTATTTTTGCAGGATTAGTATTCATACTTTGATGCTTTAATTGGTCACAGTTATCTTAGTTTTACTTCTATCTTAAATAGGACCATTGCACTATTAAAGCAATGGCTTTGACTGAACTTCTTTTTGTAGCTGCAGAGTTGTAATATCAGATAAATGTAGTTCAGTTTGTTTCTCAATTATTTTGATGGATATAAAGTCATGTGGATGATACATTGCACAAATTATAATGCTGATGTCTTATCTTAGCAGTCTGTTAAAACTGTTGTTCTTAATCCTTTTCACATAAGCAGTTTATGATGCTACTTGCAGATACGAGAAGGATATGCTTGCTTTTACAGGCTGCAGTCATAATTTGACAGCAGAAGAGGATGAAGAACTCCGTAGCATGCGTTATGAGGTTGGCCATTGGAAGGAAAAGGAGATCGATGGTGCAGAAAGAAGAAAGCTTGGTGGTTGCCCGTTGACCCCCAGGGAGACTGCCCTTCTGCTTAAGGGGCTGGGATTTCCACCCAGTACAAGGATTTACTTGGTGGCTGGTGAAGCATATGGGAATGGAAGCATGCAACCTCTTCTGGAGAATTTCCCAAACATCTTTTCCCATTCAACTCTTTCAACAGAGGAGGAATTGAACCCTTTCAAGAATCACCAAAACATGTTGGCTGGTTTGGACTATGTTGTTGCTCTTCAGAGTAATGTTTTCGTTTACACATATGATGGAAATATGGCCAAGGCAGTCCAAGGTCATAGGCGCTTTGAGAACTTCAAGAAGACTATTAATCCGGACAGGTAATTATTCTTGCCATCTGCCTATTCCATTGTTCTCTGGCTAGTCAGATTTTCTGTTAAACTATGAGAATGCAATTTTCCCAAATCAAAGCACTTCCGTCAGCCTAACTTTTGGAATCTAACAATCCTTTTGCAGGATGAATTTTGTGAAGCTAGTTGATGAACTCGATGATGGTATGATCTCGTGGAAGAAATTCAGCTCCAAAGTAAAAAAGCTTCACGAGACTCGTTCTGGGGCTCCTTATATGAGAGAGCCAGGTGAATTCCCGAAGCTGGAAGAAAGCTTTTATGCTAATTCCCTTCCTGGCTGTATATGTGAGAAAACCCACAGATAGCAAAGTTTGAACACAAAGTACGTAGTCTCTTGATCCCGTTGGAGTTCAGCTTGGGACATTATGGGAGGTATTGTCATGCATATATTCTAAGAGCATGTTGATTGAGTCTCTACTAAAGAATTCATCTCATTGGGACTTCTCCCTGTTTAGAAACAGGTGACTTGTATATATGCAGACCATCAAGGTCAAATTCAGCATTTTGCTGCTGGTGCAGAGTCAAGTATACCGTTCATCCATACAAAGACATTAGTCCTTTTGTTAATTGGACATTTTACACGATAATTTATTGGCAAGGAGGATGGTGCTGCCAATATCTACATACGGCAGTGTATGCACCCTGCAGAGCCAAATGATAAGTTTTGTTGGTGGTTGATATAGAATGTATTGTTTCTTGAGATACACATGACCAAAATTACATTGTTAATCACATTTTTTTCTGGCCTCCTTTCTATTGAATTGCTTGAGATGAGCTTAAATGCAGTGACATTGTCATTGAAGATTCATCTTCACTTAGCTGACTCTTAACTTGTGTGAGAGTGAGAGTGAGACTGAATTGTTTCTGTTGAATAGCCATACTTGTAAAAGTTATCAGATTGAAATTCTTTTGACTGTCTTCATGTTTTTTCACTCTTCCATTGCTGCAAAACTTGATTCTTTTGACAGTCTTTATGATTTTTTTCACTCTGAAATGTGTTGTACAACTCCAGTTGTATGTGAATTCTTGCAACATGTTTACGGTGATAGTGATACTGCCAAATACATATGGAATACTTTTGGTCACTCCCTTGGAATTAATCCAAGGGGGAGATGTTAAAAGAATTTTCAATACTTGGTGGAACTTAAGCACCACCAACAGTGCACATAGTATATCCCTAGTTGTATTTCTTAGGTTATCTGGAAAAAAACTGGACAACTTATAACTATGCGATCATAAAAAACTTGTGACTTCAAGTGTGGAGTTGCATATCCTGTGGAGTATCAAGGCAGCCATTTGCACTGCCTTTTTCAAACTGTGACACTACAGGTACATGGGGTGAACTTTGTTCAAGAATTCGAAGGTACAAAGTCAAGTCAGGTGGATGGAATCCGAGATAGGTAAGATACAAGCCAACACAGATGGGAGCTTCATCTATGAAAACTCTAGAGCTGGCGTAGGAGTAATCTTTAAGGATGCTACTGGTAACACTATCATGGCATTCTCAGTCCCTGCTCAATGCAAGACCAACAATCAAGCTGAAGTTATGACAACATTATATGTTACCAGATGGTGCAAGCAAGCTGGCTATAACAAATATGACTTGGAACTTGATTCTATGGTAGTGGCCAACATGATCATAACCAAGGATACCAAAACCTTGAAGCTAGAGGAATGACCAGGCCATGAATGGGGCAACAATAAATATTTCCCACTGCTATAGAGAAGCCAATCAAATAATTGATTTTTTTGCTAAACAGGCCTCTTCAAGTGGAAGTCGTACCTTCAGTTATTCTTTTCATCAATTTCCTAAATAGGTGAATGGACTCGTTCTACTAGATAAGTAGCAACTTAGCATAAGGAGAAGATACGACAAATGTAATTCTTTTGTTAGTTGAACCATTGTTTCTTTTGCTTATAGTATGAAAGTTTATGTCACTTTAGCCTTTATGTAGATTGCTTAGTTTATCCTCATTGTTCTCTATCAGAGGTTAGGTGCATGTCCCCTCTATCTTTGTATCTTTTTGGATTTTATAGACATGGTAGGGGTCAAGCCTAACCCCCTCCCCCAATTAAAGTGATGGCTCAATTTTATTTTTTACTTTAAAAAAGAATGGGCAATTACAAGTGCAGTAAAAGGAACTCAAACTGCATCATCCCAAGCTGGGGAAGGCTTAGTTACCTCCAATTCCAAAAATAACTACCATTACTTCTCCTCAAATATAGTCTGACATTTTCTTTACAGTAACACACACTAAAGGAGGCAAACTTGTAAAGAAGTTTCTTCAATTACAGAGAATGCTAGCATAAGGTAGTACAATTCAATAATAAAAAATCATGGAAGTTCATATAAATGGATAAATTCTCGAAGGGTCGGACAAGTTCCCACACTTTTTGGGCTTTCCCTGTCCATTATCAAAACCATCTTCTCCTCACACAAACTAATCAATGAATGATGAAAGAAAGAAGAATAATTGTAGAAAATGAATTGAATTACAACATCACTAACGCTGCAGAATAGACTCAACGAGCTCATAGAGAGGTGCAAGCTCTGCCTTGTCAATTAAGCGGAACTCCTGTATCAAGCAAGAGCATGCATCAGTTTCCTCAATGTACACTAATCACATTCTACTTGTATAGATATATCATGCACTACAAATTTATGAAATGCATTAAATCAATAAACATCAAATGTACTTGGTATAAACTTACCCATGTGAACAGAACAAAGTGCTTAAAGCAAGTATTCATATGAGCTTCTTCTTTTAGACTGATAATCTTTTGGAAATGTGAATGATAGATATGAGCATATACACGAAATAATCGCTTAAATATTGTCTTCACAACATCCTGGAAGTTAGACGGAAATGGCGCACCTGTAGAGCATACCATTAATCAGACATTGAATTTGGAATTTTTTATCAGAGTAATATGCACAGCATAAAGAGAGATTACCCACCCAAATTTTGGGGAAAAATTGATTCATCATCTAGCTGAGTTTCTATCCAACCCATCAAATAATCCACATATTTTGGTGCAGAAACTTCTATGGGTTTCTTTATATTAACGCCGTCGGCCCAACGATACTCGTACCTGCCAAAAGTTATATGCAAAAAATGTATCAGCCATGCCAATTTCCACAGACTGCAGC